GTCAGTCCTAGAGAAGGTTCCATGTTCTGCTGAGAAAGATGTGTATTCTGCAACTGCTCGATGAAAAGTTCTGTAGATACCTGTTAGATCATTGGTCTAAAGTGTTGATTAAATCTGTTGTTTTCTTGCTGATTTTCTGTCTGGTTGATCTCTGAAAGTGAGGTATTGAAATCCCCCATTACTATTGTGTTTGAGTCTATTCCTCCCTTTAGATCCCTTAACATTTTTAAATAGTCAGGTGCCCTGTAATTAGGTGCAAATACATTTAAAATTATAGTTACATCTTTCTGTTGAATTGTTCTCTTAAACATTACATAGTGCCCTTCATCTCTTTCAACAGTTTTTGTGTTGAAGTCCATTTTGTCTGATATTAAGATGGCTACACCAGCTCTTTTTTGACTTCTGGAAGCATGGAATATATTTTTCCATCAATTCACTTTCAGTCTGTGTGCACATTTGTTGCTGAGATGTATTTCTTGTAGGCAGCATATAGGTTTTGCTTTTTAATCCATTCAGCCAATGTCTTTTAACTGGAGAGTTGAGGTCATTTACATTCAAGGTGACTATTGAGAAGTAAAGACTTTTGTGGGGAGCAACTGGGAGCAACCCGGACTAGACTGTTACTGGAATTAAGACTTATTCTATGCATCTGCTCTCCCACAATATGGCGCTGGGAGAGGAGGAAACAGCTTCTACATAGCTGCCTCCAGTTCAACCAATAAACAGCAGGACCTGCTCCTGATTGGAGGAGAGCAGCGTACTCGGCGTGTGGGTAGCAGAGTTGGGATTGGTGGAAGAGGACTATAAAGGAGGAGAGAGACAACATGCACCAGGGAACATCTAAGGGGAACACCTGAGCAGCCCCCGAGAAAGCCGGCCGGCGGTGTGCCGCTCCCCCGCGGAAGTGGGGAAAGTGGACAGGGGGAACCGCCCTTCCACAGAGGTGGAAGGGACGGTAGCCAACCCGGGAAGAACCAGCAGCAAAACTGGGAAGGGCCGAGCAGACGAAAGAACAGCGCAGTGTCCTGTGTCGTTCCTCCGTGAAGAGGGGGAGCAACATAATGGTGCTGTGACTCGGATATGAAGCCTAGGCAGGGTTTAGTGTCGTTCCTCCATGAAGAGGGGGAGCGACAGACTTTGACCTGCCACTCTTCCATAAATATTCCTATGTTTTACTTTGAATTTCCTTTGTACGTTTACTGGGAGATTTTTTTTATTTAGTGAATATAAATTTCCAAAGTACAGTTTATGGATTACAATGGCTTCCCCTGCCATAATTTCCCTCCCACTCACACCCCTCCCATCTCCCGCTCCCTCTCGCATTCCATTCACATCAAGATTCATTTTCAATTATCTTTATATACAGAAGATTGATTTAGTATATATTAAGTAAAGATTTCATCAGTTTGCACCCACACAGAAACACAAAGTGTAAAATACTGTTTCAGTACTAGTTATAGCATTACTTCACATTGGACAACACATTAAGGACAGAGATCCTACATGGGGAGTAAGTGCACAGTGACTCCTGTTGTTGACTTAACAAATTGACACTCTTGTTTATGGCGTCAGTAATCTGCCTAGGCTCTAGTCATGAGTTGCCAAGGCTATGGAAGCCTTTTGAGTTCGCCGACTTCGATCTTATTCTGACAGGGTCATAGTCAAAGTGGAAGTTCTCTCTTCCCTCAGAGAAAGCTACTTCCTTCTTTGATGGCCCCTCCAATTTGCGTGGAGTTTCTTCTGCTGTTTTCTCCCTAACTCCTCCCTGAGACTGTACTCTTTCCACTTGTTTTAAGCTATCTTTTCCTAGACTAGAGCAGCAAGCTCCTTCCCTACTCTGCAACTTTAATCCCCGTCCCCTTTCTTTATTTTGCTCAGATTTCTGGAGACTGGGAAGTCCAAGAACCTGGTTCTTTAATCTGTGAGGGCCTTCATGCTATGTTATACTGTGGCAAAGGAAAAGCAAGCACCCACAAAGCAGGATTGGAGACAGGGCTATACTTGGTACAATAACAAACTCACTGTCTTAGTAACTAAACCAGACCCTCAACAAGAGCATCAGTCCATTTATGATGTCAGATTCCTCAGGTTTACTGATGTCTTCAGGTTTTTACCTCTTAATATCATCGTAGTGGCAGTTAAATGTCAACATGAATTTCGGAGGGGACATTGAAATCAGAGCACACATGTCAACATTTAGACTGATAATTTTTCCAGACATACTAATTGCATCTCATGGAGAATTTCTTTTACTTGTTTGGGCTTAACTTTTGCTCAGTTATTATAATAATATCAATTACATGCAGAACCAGAGGATATTTTAAGAATAAAAATGTCATTCAAACCCCAAAATAATTAGATCTGTATTGATTTAATTTGAAGAAGGAACTATAACTTTTGAACAAAGGTTTAATTAAAAATTCCAATTAGATAATATAATGAATTTTAATACATTTTTACACATTAATCACCTATAAAATATTTCAAGATTATTCAGGTTCATTAGGTAAATAAAAATGTCTCTGATTTGAAATTTTAAAATGGGCTGATAATTGTTATGACTGTCATGATAGATAATTCAATATGCCAGCAGTTTGTCTGATCAATTATCACATGCTAACAGAACTGAGATTTCAGATTTACCTGCATTGAATATTGTCTAGACACATGTTCAATTTTAAGTTTCATATATAATTTCTTTTTTTGTACTCTGGGTATATGCAGACTTGGACAAAACAAAAGTCAAATGAATTGCTTAAGTAGATATATTTTATCCTAGACTATTCTCTGCCATGCATTAATGTCTGTTTTTAGAATAGCTTCTGATTTATTTAGAGATTGCACCTGCATTTTTTATTAGGTAAATATATGACTTCTCACATATCAGGAAGTTATGATGATACCACACTTAAATATTAAACCATATCTGTTGTCCAGGTTAGAAAAAAAAGGAAGGAAGAAAAAAACAAATTTTCACTTAAATCCAGAAGAAGGGTTTTAAATCTTGGGATTTTCTTATTGCAAATTCAGTTATTCAGTAGCCATGAGCAGAAGGTTAGAGTAACAACAGAATCTTAATAGGCTTAAAAAGACAAGAGAAAGAGTCATGGTCATGACTTGGATACTATTATATTCTGCATAATCTACCAATCACTGGCACTGAGAATAACATAGACTCTGGACTGAATTCCTTAAGACCTTATGGATCCGAAAGTATATATTAAGTGATATTTTATAAAACACATGCACACAAAATAATATGAATACTAGCATGATTAAGTGCAGCCATTTAATGTTATGTAATACTTTAAATCACTCACTAAAATTAAGTGAATAGCAAAAAAGGCTTTAATATTAAAATTGATCATGAACACAATATTAAATGAGGATGCAAAAAAAGGTAGGAAAGAAGAAAGACTGCAGAGGGTTTGAAGTACTACAAAGTAAACTCAGCAAGTCACCAGAAAGGACAGATATCTACTGCTGTGGGAGAGACTGGGATCTGTTGATGAGAAGGTGTTAACGAGTTAGGAATTAGCTGGACTTTAAATTAAATGATTTGGCTCTATCAAAGGAATTTGTGAAGGAGTAAGTTTCTTATTAAATGGAGATTTAAAGTAATACATTTTTATTACAGCAATGGTTGTGAAAATGAAAAGGATGAATTAAGAAGTTAAAGTGTCAAAATCTAAAGGATCCTTCAGAAAATACTGATTTTCTTGCAAAACAGTACTATTTGACTAAAATGATACTTTAATAAAATGGATTTAATTAAACTCTTTGAAATGGATACCAGTTCATATTTTAGTAAAATCTATCTGACTTCAGTGTCTTCCCTGTTCCTCCTTGCTAATCTCCCTTCCTCCACATACATTCAGCTTTGAATATCATGCATTAGACTTTATCACCTCATTCCTCAGGTTTTTTTTTTTTTAAGCATGTAGTTCCTGGTTTTTTGTTAATTATATAATATAATTCCTTTATTAATTATCGAGGATTCAAAACTACAGCTATATGATCTGTCCAATACCCTGACCTCATGGACACCAACTTATCTTGCCCATGCTCCTGGCTTGAGGAGGGCCCATGTTCTCTCCCCTTTCCTATTCAAGGACATCATCCCACCAAGTCTCCTTTTCTCCTGCACCAACTTGTTCCCTACTACTGAACGATTCAAAAAATTGCCCAACCTCTTTTTGTCTTGTCCTGTAAAACAAAAGCAAAGCAAATGAGTAGTAAAACATACTTTACTCAACTTTTCCACCAGCTCCATTGTTGGAGTGGGCAAGTGAAAGGAGAGACAGGACACAGGAACTCTTCTTTGGAAAAGTGCCGCCAGGCTAGCCCAGCCTGTTTTCTTTATTGATGAGGATTACAACAGCTTATTGTGCAGCACATGTGCTTGGTCATACAACTCTAAGGTTTCTCTAAAACATGGTTAGCAAGATATATTAAATAAGCATGTCCGGGAAAACAGCTATGTGTCCTTGTCAAGCCGACGTTCCCACAAGGGCTCAATGCTCTTCTTGATAGTAGGTCATAAACTATCCTTATTCAGTGCCTGCAGTCACATTCTGTGTCCTAGGGAGAAAACCTCTTCACTCGGAGTGCATTGGCAGAAATATTCTCCACATTTCCCCCTTTTCTTGTGTTATGTTTATTAGCTATATGATTTTGGCAGAAATTTCACTTTTTACATTCTGCTGCCACACTCTGTGCTCAGGAGAAATGTGTTTTCAACTGAGAGCCCTGCAGCAGAATTTTTGTTCTCTACATTCTGCATAAGTGTTTGTCAGTAGTATGATTGTTTGAAGTAGGGATTACAATCTTTACAAATATTGATCACAATGGAGTGCACTGAAAGAAGCAGCATATCTGGATCAATGAAGCCACAACAGACAACAATAGAAGAACAATTTTTTAACTAGCTGGTGGTGTTCTTGAGTAGGGATGGGACAAAGCAACATAAAACAACATAACAACAGCAATGGGTTTTTTAATTGAGTCATTATGACTGTAAAGAGTCTTAGGGGTTTCTTCTTGGTGTTCATGTTGAAGCAATTGCTCAGCTAAACGACTAGTGACTTGAGGTCTCCTCAGGTAACTGGTGCTCTGACAAACTGAGGAGGTTTGACACCTCTCTCTTCTCGAACCTGAAGTGGAACTGGGAGATAGGGTCCTGAAGGCCTTGAAGCCAACTCATGATGCCATGCAGGGTGAGCACAATGAGCAGGAATCCACACAGGTCCTGTGGGAGAGAGAACAGAGGCATACCCTCACCCCCACGTTAGTAATGGTTTGGGTCCTTTACAGGTTGGATCAGGGGGTTCTTTATAATACATTAATGGATGTGGTGGATCCTGTGGGGGGCAAAAATGTTTCCTTGCTGGGGCCTCAGCTTCCCCAAGACTGCTGAAGGATAAGATAAATGCAGATCACTTGGTTAATCCTCCTCCTGTGGCGCCAGCACACCAGATTCTAGTGCCGGTTAGGGCGCCGGATTCTGTCCCAGTTGCTCCTTTTCCAGTCCCGCTCTCTGCTGTGGCCCAGGAGGGCAGTGGAGGATGGCCCAAGTGCTGGGACCCTGCACCCGCATGGGAGACCAGGAGGAAGTGCCTGGCTCCTGGCTTCAGATTGGCGCAGTGCGCCAGCCGTGGCAGCCATTTGGAGGGTGAACCAACAGAAGCAAGACCTTTCTCTCTGTCTCTCTCTCTCTCACTGTCTAACTTTGCCTGTCAAAAAATAAATAAATAAATGTAAATAAAAGAATAAACATCATTTAATTAATTTGTCTCAGGGTGTTTCTCCCTTTAATTGTTTATGTAAATGGGCTCAAACCTACCACCTTGCTATTAAGTCTCATGCTTTCCCAACTGAGCTGGCCAGGCAGATAGGAAGTTCTGTGTGAATGCATATTAAATCTAATAAATAAATGCCGTATGAAGAGAGAGATCAAAATGGCTTTGAAATGCAAACACATAAATATATATTGCCGAATCCAAATGATCAAACTATTTAAATATATCTTTCTATTCTTTGAAGTTTTAAATAGTTTATTACTGACATTTCCACTATAATTTACTTTATCCTTCATTGAAAGATATTATATTCAAAGAGTCATCAAACCCTAATCTCTTAAATAAACAGTACATGTTAAATTTGACAACACCATATTGATGGCTACTAAAGTTGAAAAGACTGTAAATTATTGAAATTAACCCATGAGAGCTTTCTCCCTTCAGAAGAAAGTACATCCTTCTTTGGTGGCCCCTTCTTTCCATTGAGGTCTCTCCCTCAGGGGTCCTATATGTAGGATATCTTTTTCACAGTGTTTTGGCTTTCCATGCCTGACATGCTCCGCCTCAGCTTTCTAGCTGGACCGGTGTACCTTAAGGACTGATTTTGAGGTTGGAGTGCTTCTTAAAGCAATTGTCATTCTATGAGTCTGTTGTGTGGACTGCTTCCCATGTTGGAGCCTTTCCTCCAAAAAGGTACATTTAAATGAAGGCTAATACTATATAAATGACTGTAGTACATAAAAACTGAAATATAGCTGTTCATTAGCTGGACGTGGTGTTAGAATTTTAAAGTGAATAAAATGGTCACCTAGCTCACAGTTCCAATTGACTTATTGGGGAAGTTTATTTTGTTGACCATTTAGTAAAAGAATGAGTTGACAAAAACTAGGCTCAGTAATCTGGGCATACCAGATGCCTTATTAAGCATATCTTTAAGATAAATGGCTTGTGAGAACCAAGTGTTGAACATTTACTTCTACCAGTTAAGTCCTGGTGAGCCATTTCTCACTGAGGTAACATATATTGGCTACTAGTTATAATCTGTGCTTCACTTAAAAAGCATTTATTGCAATGTTAGTCACAAACCTAATAGAACTTTTAAGACTTCTAAAGATGCCTCACTTACAACAAAGAAGTATCTGATTAGGCAAAGAATATTATCCAGTTATTGTCTCAAAACTAATATTACCTACACAAGAAATTCTCAAATATGATGAGAAATTATTAAACCCTAATCACTGACAGCTGATAATGTTACCCAATAAATGCCACCATTTCCATAATTCCTTTAGTGAAAGACACATTTTCAGCTTGGAATCTATTTAGACAGCTCAATTTTCTGACATATACAGCCTGGAAGGCTGCATGTTTGTGACGTGGTACACACATTAGCAGATTAGAAAGATACAAATCTAATTTTAAAGAAAACAATAGGGAGCTCATAGAGATATTAGTAGGAACAGACCTCCGTGGAAATCAATTTATAATATCTTGGTAAAATGAGGGAAATTCTGGGCAAACGATTAGCAAAATGGGAGACTAATGTACAGGTAATGGCCCCAAACAAGTGAATTCATCTCAGAAAAGATGGTATAGATGAATTCATCTCAGCAAAAATTAGACAAAGCAATGAGAACTCAGTGAACACATTTTTCTTGACATGTCTTTTTAGAGATACTCATCGGTGTCTTAACGAAGAGGATATTAAAAAGTTTACATCAGAGCCTATTGGATTATGTTAGTAGTTTAATGTGTATATCCATGTTTCAATTCATGTCTAGTAAAATAATATAAAATGATTGCTCAGCCATGTTTACAAAGGCTGGGGTTAAAAACAGGTAATGAACAAGTAATTATATCCCTACTACCCATATGGGATACATGGATTGGTTTCCCACCTCCCAGCTTTGACCTTACCTAGCCTTAGATATTGTGGAAATTTGGAGACTTAATCAGTGGATGAGAACTTTCTCTATATATATCTTTCCTTCTCAAATAAAATAAAATATATGTAATTTTGACATTTAAACACTTTACACTTTAATATTTTAACTATAGATAATTATCTACTAAATTATAAATATTTATAAAAAATAATAATAAATTGTGTTTTCTATAGTGAGATATTTGAATACATATATACAATATGTACTACCAAAACAATGTAATCAACATTTCTTCTTCTTTGGCATTACTTTGTGATGGATGTTTGGAGTGTCTTTCTTCTATTTGTTCACATAATATAACTAGGTTATTGTGAACTACAGTTCCCACTGTGATGCATAACAGTAGAAATCTATCCCTCAATCTGACTCTGATTTGATGCCTGTTACTCACTTTGTCTATCCTCTCACCTCTCCTAGACTCTTTAACCAGATTGAACTGTTTTTAGTTTCCACATAAGAGGTAAAATGTGTAGTAGCTCTCTTTCTGTGTCAAGCTTGTTCTCCAACATGATTTCCTCCAGTTCCTTATATTTTGCTGCAAATGACAGGATTTCATGTTTGTGCTGAAAGAGTATTCTACTTTATTATCTGATCATAGATTTTCTTTATCTGTTTATCTGACAATGGACACCTTCTTTGCATCCATATCTTGGTTTCTTTTTCTTTTCTTTTCTTTCTTTTCTTTTTTTTTTTTTTTTTTGGACAGTCAGAGTGGACAGTGAGAGAGAGAGACAGAGAGAAAGGTCTTCCTTTTGCCGTTGGTTCACCCTCCAATGGCCGCCGCGGCTGGCACACTGCGGCTGGCGCATTGCACTGATCTGAAGCCAGGAGCCAGGTGCTTCTCCTGGTCTCCCATGCGGTTGCAGAGCCCAAGCATTTGGGCCATCCTCCACTGCACTCCCTGGCCACAGCAGAGAGCTGAACTGGAAGAGGAGCAACCGGTACAGAATCCAGCGCCCCGACCGGGACTAGAACCTGGTGTGCTGGCGCCGCAAGGCAGAGGATTAGCCTAGTGAGCCGCAGCACCGGCCATTGATTTGACTTTTAACCTCAGATGCTTTCCTTGCTTTTTTCATCAGAGCCCATGATGAGTGCAGTGTTTATCGAATCTGTATGTACTGAACAAAATCAACTATGCCCCTTAGAGATGACTGGTCCCCATTGTATGCTTAGGAAATTGCTCGTATTTCGTCTCTGAGAAAACCAAACTTCCATTTGATTTAGTGGCATAAGAAAGTACATCTTCAATTTGCATGATGGATTTTTAACTGTAACAAGATTTTTTAAATGGAGAAGAATGTTGACAGATTATATAATTTTTTTCTGCATGTCATTTGAATACACCTTATATGGCCTAGCATCCAACTCCAGTTTGGTATAAGTTGTGTAGTTGGTCCTTTAGATATTTGCAAAGCAAACAGCTGAGAGGTTAAGCCAGGTAGTTGAAATAATGCTGCTTCCTGAATTTATTACCCACTTTGGTGCTCTCAACATGAAAAGACAGTATTGATAAAATCCCTGAGTACCAAGACAGACACATTTTTTTTTCCCACAAAGACCTTAAATGTACATTACTGTAAAATTGGTGAGCACTTTGAATATTTGAAAACAAATGAGAAATCAGGAACGAGCTTAAACTTTCCAAAAAAGTTTGTGGAGTTATGGTAGAAAAAGAGATGTCTCCAATGTTGTCTTTTAAAAGTTTTATAAGGCTTTAAATCTTGCCAAATAGTTCCCTCATGAAAATGATGCGCCTGGTGGAATAAATTCTGTGGCACTTTATGCAGTGATAAACATTGCTAAACATATTTCAATAATACTACATGACTTGGGTTTTTCTCAGATTAAATAAAGCCCATTTTTAAGGAGCAAAACACACAAGAAGGATAAACAAAAGAGGAAAATAACTCCATTCTTTAAATTTGCTCTGCTCTTTCAAGTGAAAACTGTTTTGCAAAACAGACTGTTTTTCAGAAGTATTGGTTTTGTCTCTTCTATCAGGTTTATAATCAGTGATACAATTTCAGTATCAGGAACATTGATTCTGTTCTCATCGGGGAGGAGGGTTGTTGTTCAATCTGTAATCTATTAAATTTCATTTTTCCAATGAGACATAGAAAATAACTGCAGAGCAAGAATTTAGGATTCCAGTTCCCAAATCCTGGCTACTGTTATTTTTCTTTCTGGATCTTTCTATCTTATATCCAACTAGATTGAAGAAATCATGCCTCCACACAATATATGTAAATGTTCAAAATTAATATAGAGTAAAACACTGAGAAATATTTTTGTGGAAAGAAAACCGATTGGAAGTCATTACCAGTAAATGGTACTAGAAGCTAAAGGACGACATATTAATCTTTTTTTTCTATTACTGTAACAATATCTGAAACTGGGCCATTTATAAAGAAAGAGGCATATCAAGTTTACAGTTCTGGAGGCTGAAAGTTCAAACAGAATTGCACTGGGTCTTGTGAAGACTGTCCTGGCTGCATCACATCATAGCAGATAGTATCCTGGTAGAAGCACATAGAAGAGGGAGAGAGAGAGAGAGAGAGAGAGAGAGAGATCACATGGTGAGACAAGAAGCCACAGATAACATAGAGTGGCCAATCTAGCTCTTTTGTAACAGCTCATCTAGGCTGACGTAGCTGAGTTCACACTAATCTCTTTTGGGGGCACGTCTTGCATATACCTAAACATTGCACACTAAAACCCACTTCTTTTTTTTTTCTTTTTTTAAACTTTTATTTAATAAATATAAATTTCCACAGTACAGCTTTTGGATTATAGTGGCTTCCCCCCACGCCCATAACTTCCCTCCCACCTGCAACCCTCCCATCTCCCGCTCCCTCTCCCATCCCATTCACATCAAGATTCATTTTCAATTATCTTTATATACAGAAGATTGATTTAGTATATATTAAGTAAAAATTTCAACAGTTCACACCCACACAGAAACACAAAGTGTAAAGTACTGTTTGAATACTAGTTATAGCATTAATTCACATTCTACAACACATTAAGGACAGAGATCCTACATGGGGAGTAAGTGCACAGTGACTCCTGTTGTTGACTTAACAAATTGACACTCCTGTTTATGGCATAAGTAATCACCCTAGGCACTTGTCATGAGTTGCCAAGGCTATGGAAACCTTTTGAGTTCGTCAACTCTGATCTTATTTAGACAAGGTCATAGTCAAAGTGCAAGTTTTTTCATCCCTTCAGAGAAAGGTACCTCCTTCTTTGATGACCCGTTCTTTCCACTGGGATCTCACTCACAGAGATCTTTCATATAGGGTTTTTTGTTTTGTTTTGTTTTGTTTTTGCCAGAGTGTCTTGGTTTTCCATGCCTAAAATACTCTCATCGGCTCTTCAGCCAGATCTGAATGCCTTAAAGGCTAATTCTGAGGCCAGAGTGCTGTTTAGGACATCTGCCATTCTATGAGTCTGCTGTGTACCTCGCTTCCCATGTTGGATCATTCTCTCCTTTTTAATTCTATCAGTTAGTATTTGCAGACACTAGTCTTGTTTATTTGATGCCTTTGACTCTTAATCCTATCATTATGATCAATTGTGAACTGAAACTCATCACTTGGACTAGTGAGATGGCACTGGTACATGCCACCTTGATGGGATTGAATTGGAATCGCCTGGCACGTTTCTAACTCTACCGTTTGGGGCCAGTCCGATTGAGCATGTCCCAATTTGTACATCTCCTCCAAAGTTGTTTTTACACCTCTTTCCTGGAGACCACACTTCCAATTCCTAGGGCACAAACCATATCCCACATATCCCATAGTAGATGCTAATACCACAACCCCATGTCTGCATCCTACAGTGTCCACATCCCATATGGATGCCAGTTCAAGTCCTGGATGCTCCACTTCCGACGCAGCTCCCTGCTAATGCACTAGGGAAATTAGCGGAAGATGGTTCAAGTTCCTGGGCCCCTACCACACAGTTGGGAGATCCAGACGTAGCTCCTGGCTCTTGATTTTGGCCTGGCCCAACCTTGGCTGCTGTGACCATTTGGAAGGTCACCAGTGGATGGAAGATATCTCTGCTTATCCTCTTTTTCTGTCACTATGCCTTTCAAATAAATAATTAAATCTTTAAAAATATTCTTTTTTTAATTTGAAAGAGAAGAGCAAGAGCACACGCGCGAGAGAGGGATGGCCAGACAGAGATCTTCCATTGGTTGGTTCACTCTCTCAATGTATACAATGGCCCTAGGCTGAACTGTAGTTGGGAACCTGGAATTCAGTAGACTGTCTTACACAGATGGACAGATGGCAGGGAGTCAAGTTTTAGAGCCATCATCTGCAGCCTCCTGGGTTACACATTAGCAAGAGGTTGGAATCAAAAGCAGAACCAGGACTTGAACTCAGGCCCTAAAATAAAGTATGTGGGCATCTCTTATCAGGGGCTTAACCACTGCACCATATACCCGCTTTCTAAGTCAGCATTTAGGAAACTCTTCTTTGTGGCAATGTAACGTGAGAGCTCAGTCAACTCTGACTTTCTCCAATAACTTAATATGATATTTGTAATTAATGATCCATCAAATAAGAGTTAAACTGATTTACCTGAGGGACAATCAAAAAGCTAGATATATATGAATGCAGTATTGAGTATATTTTGGAATCAAATACGAAAGCGAAACTATGGGCAAGTATGAAAGAGTTCCAGTAAATGACTTTAAAATGAATCTATGGTTTATAGTTTAAGCATTTTATTGGAAAAAAATTTTGTCAATATGCTCATTCTTATTGGTATTTAGACAGAATAAGGGAAAAATGTTGGAAACTTCTGTGATGGTTGTTTTTTCTTCTGAATTCCTTAAAATGACATGCACTCCTTGCCACAGCTTTATGGGGACTTTCTGGTATGGGTACTGACAAGGCCTATCACCACTTCCCCTGAATGCTGAGCCTGTGCTGTGCTATCCTGCTCTAGAGACATTCTTTATTAGCTCATTTAATAGTATGCAACTTCATATCTTCATAACACTTTACCTCCAATATATTCATGTACTTTCCATAAATCATATACCTTGTCATAAACATCATACTGACAAAAATCCATTAGAATGAACAAAATGAATGTGAATTAAATAATATTTTAAATATTTACAATTGTAATTACTCATCAGAATTGCACAGTGACAATAGCATGACTATAATTGTTTTATATTTTTTAATTTTTGTATTTTTATTTGGGAGGAAGGTGATTGGAATTATTGGTTCTATATTCTATTTATTTCTTTTTTTTTACTTTCATTTGATAAATATAAATTTCCAAAGTACAACTTTTGGATTATAGCGGCTTTTCCCCCCCATAACCAACCTCCCACCCACAACTATCCCACTCCCTCTCCCATCCCATTCTTCATCAAGATTTATTTTCAATTATCTTTATATTTATTTCTAAACTTCAATAGCTGGCATATGTGAAAATGTTACTTTTTAAGATCCATAGATCTGGGGTTAGTTTTGTGGCATAGTGGGTTAAGCCATGGCCTGCAAAGCCTGCATCCCATTTGGATGCCAGTTCATGTCCTGGTTGCTCCCCTTCTGATCCAGCTCCCTGCCCACGCACCTGAGAAGCAGTTGGAGATGGTATAAGTACTGGGGCTTATGTACCCATAGGAGAGACCTAAAAGAAGCTCCTGCCTCTTATATTTGTCCTGGCTCAGTCCTGGCCATTGTGGCCACTTGGGGAGTGAACCAACCGAAGGAAGATCTGTCTCTCTGCTTCTTCTTCTCTCTCTGTAACTCTACCTTCCAAATACAAAAATCTATAGATATAAAAGACTATACCACCTTGGTGGAATTTATTGGAACATGGCCCCTGTTTGTTCAATTATAAAATACATACACTTTACAAATTTTAGCTATCAATTTTTAGCTTTCCTACTCTAAAGCAGTTTTTCTTATAAGTTTATTGAAATGTTAATGAATTTTATAATTCTAAAGTCTGCTTTCAAAATACACTGTAACTTCATTTAAAAAGCTCATAAATTCTATTTTCAGATTTCTTAAGAATGTAGATTTCAGAGATTTAGAAATGACTCACTTTCATTATTCTAACTAAAAATGATCATAAAAATCACAAAATGTTTTAAGATGGGCTCTCTAAAATTAATGTTTCCTGTGCTCATTCATGTTTTCACCTTTGAAATGAGAGATTTAGGGCCTAGTGGGTAGGATGTTCATCACACTTATCAGAGTGCCAGGGTTCAAAATTTGCCTCTGACTCATGATTGCAGTTCCTGCTAATGTGCAACCTGGGAAGGAGTGTGATGGCTCAAATAATCGGGTTATTGCCACCTACATGGAAGCCCTGGGTTGTATTTCTGGTTCCCAGGCTTTGGCTCCAACCCAAACCAATCGATTATGGACAATTGAGGAGTGATCCAGTAGATGGGAGCACTCTCTCCTTCTGTGTGTTCATATCATTTTCTCTTTCTTTTTTTCTCCCTATGTAGAAAATCACATAGAACCTCATGGTAATAAGTGTTGTTCCATGGTAATATCCATGGATGAGTTGAAAAATTAGTGGAGAAAACTTTAAGCAGAAAAAGATTATTTACATGATGATCTTCTCTCCAAATATTTATTAATTGGTATAGTAGTTTTAATACCCTTTCTCTCTCTCAGACAATTTTTTAAAAAGGAAAGATCAACCTTTTATAACTCATAAAGTAGATGAAATTAGACCAAAAGCTGATATACTGTATAATTTCATTTGAATGACATGCTGCAAATGCAAATTATAAGAAAGAAGACAGATCTACAAGTGTGAAAGTATGAAAGTGTAGAGAAGGGTTAGCTATGAAAGGCACACATGGAAATGTTAGGATGATGGAATCATTGTATGATTCTGTAGTTTTCTATATATAGTCCTGCATTTGTCATAACCACAATGAGTGAAATTTATTGTATGCGAATTTAAAGATCAACTAGAATATCAAGATTCTCAGAATAGTACGCTGACTGTAACAAATATTTTATGAATGGATGTTGCCTTATAGAAAGGATGGTGGGACCTTAGTAACTTTAGAAGCCATTGTTTTGACTGGCTTCTATAAGGCTAAAGACAGAAAGAACAGTATGTCAACACTGTACTCCATCCAGTAAATTCATCCCTCATTTGTGTATTCTTATGAATTTTTAAGCTAATTTACTTGTGTACTAAATTTGAACCAATGAGTAAATAAATGTAAATAATAACAAACTTTCTCATTGTCAGAAAAAATTAGTTATAGACAGAAAGGGATTAGAATACTGTGGTATTGGAACAGAGTCACAGAGACAGTATTGACTCATGTTTATTTCATAGATGTATACAGATAGCAGATAACAGAAATCAATATACATAAATATCAATAAATACCAGCTGCTACTTTTATTGCTTTTATTTGACAGTTGCAACTGTTAAAAGTAAAACTAAACTTTTTTCCATTGGGTTAGTTGAAAATGTTAACATTTTCTGATATTAAATTAAAATATTT